GCAATGACAGTCCAAGAATTTAACTACTAAAACATATCAACAGAAGATCATTACACTGACTACTTTTTTGTTTTGGCTCCCACTCGCCAGCCACGTAATGATCCCCCACTTAAACCCAAACTGCACCGGGGGGCAAAAATGCAATAGCCTTCACTTGGTTAGTGATTTGGAGGTAGAGCCATGGCCTTGTCTTCTCTTCCTTCCCTTTAGGGCACCAAGAACACCCAAAGGAACAGGCTGAAATTTTATTTGTTCCTCTATGTAGGCCATTTAAGGGGGAGTCTTCCAGATATGCCTCTTTCTGCACTTTAGCATATAAATTATTAACTTGCTTCACATCAAACTGTCCTCAATGATATCATGCTAAAGCTGAATTTTGGTCAGTGTCATTTAGAATACACTTCAAGCAGGTTTCAGGCCATGGCAACATGTTGCCAACAGCAATAAAGGGTATACTGCAGGCAATGCTGCCTCTGCCCACAGCAAACTGTAAGGCTAGGTCTACACTGGCCCCTTTTCCGGAAGGGGCATGTTAATTTCACCTATCCTAGTAGGGAAATCCGCGGGGGGTTTAAATATCCCCCGCGGCATTTAAATAAAAATGTCCGCCGCTTTTTTCCGGCTTTTAAAAAAGCCGGAAAAGAGCGTCTACACTGGCCCCGATCCTCCGGAAAAAGCGCCCTTTTCCGGAGGCTCTTATTCCTACTTCAAAGTAGGCGGCGGACATTTTTATTTAAATGCCGCGGGGGATATTTAAATCCCCCGCGCATTTCCCTACTACGACTCATGAAATTTACATGCCCCTTCCGGAAAAGGGGCCAGTGTAGACGTAGCCCTGCTGTCCTGACTTCTGCCCTTCTCTCTGCCCTCAACCCTCCTGTGACCTGCTCCTTTCTACCAGCCTTTCTCTCCCCTCTGTGCCCACTCCTCCAGTAGCCCCACTCTGATCATGTGAGCTACTCCTCTTCTAACACCTCTTTCTATATGCCTGCCCTGCTTCTCTTCTCTGGTGCTGGTCCCTCCCCTGGAGGTGTCTGCCCTTCTGCTTCATGCCCAGAATCCCCTGGCACCTGTACCTTCCCTTAGCCCTGCACCCTCCTTGTGCCTCCCCTTTTCCTCAGTGCTCCTGCCCCCTTTGCCCTCTTTTTCCCTGTTGCCCATCCCCTCACCACTCTCTGCCCCCATTCCCCTCACGCCCCTGTGCCCTCACATATGCCTTGCTCCATCCCTACCTCTCATGCTCACCCCTTCTTTCAAGCCTTCTCCTCCAACCCCCAATGCCCTTCCCCTCTCCTCTTCTCTCCCCGAATCACCTGTACTTGGTCCCCTGGCATTTGTCTCTCCTCCAGCCTGTCTCTTGGTACCTTCTTTCTTCCCCCTCCCCCTCCGCACAAGCCTCTTCTTCCCGCACCCCATCCAAGCCCCTGCCTCTGCCCCTCCCACCGCTCCTGCTCCCACTCCTGCTCCCCTGCTTTCTGCGGGGCCGGACTGCAAACCGTGTGTGCTGCGGTGGCGGCAGCATGGCACTTTTCAGTTTTAAAATCCTGGGCGTGAAGTTACGTCTTGCCCAGGTGTCTCCCCGCCCACCTGCAAACAGCACACACGGCAGCAGCAGCCAGCAGCATGCGCAGCGCAGGTAAGGGGGAGCCGAGCCGAGGGAGCTGATTTCCGGGTGCAGGCTGCGGGCCCCCCTTAGGTACGGGGCCTGATTCGTCTGAATTGGCCAAATCGGCTTAAGGCCTGTCCTAGATACAGGTTGTCTTGACCTCTTCCCAAACACTAATGTTCACGCATCTGTCTTCCCATTTGATCTTCAAGATCTGGCAGAGGCAATGTTGGTAATAACTCTCAAGGACTTTCAAGTGAGGTCTATAGGTTGTCCAAGTTTCAGACCCATACAATAGTGTTGGGAGAAAATATTGGCTTGATAGACAAGAAGTTTGGTGTCTGTTCGAATATCGTGATCTTCAAAAACCCTGTATCATACATGAGCAAAGGCCGCACTGGTACAGCTCAGACAATGTTGGATTTCTATATCAGTATCTGCTTTGGATGAAAGATAACTTCCAAGGTAGAGAAAATGATTGACATTCTCCAGTGCGCCTCTGTTGGTTTTAATAGATGGGGCATATGGTACCTCATTTGGAGAGGGCTGATGGAGCACTTGGGTCATCTTGATGCTGAGGGTGAGACCAAGACATGCATGAGTATGTTCAAGATATCCTGAAGATCTTTCTCAGAATGGGCAAAAACTGCATTGTCATCAGCATACTGAAGTTCCACCACAGACGTAGTGGAAATCTTACTTGTAGCTCTCCATCTGCTGAGCCTAAACAGCTTTCCATTCATTATGTAGATGATTTCAACACCATTGAGGAGCTTCCCTGCAATTAGGTAAAAAATGACAGCAATAAAGGCCATGAACATGGTTGGGGCGATGATACGGCCCTGTTTGACTCCTGTTTGTACTGGGAAAGGTTCACTCAGGGAGCCAGTGCTGCTCAGAACAGTCATGTTGTCATGAAACAACTTTAGGGAATTGATGTATTTATCAGGACACCTAAACTTCGCAAGTACAGTCTAAAGGGCATGGCAATTCGCTATAGTTATTGTATCCCTAGTGTAAATAATTTTAAACTCTGCAAGCATCTGAATGAGGCTCAAGTGCTCTGGAAAAACATTTTAATATAGTTACAAGAATGCAGTTAGTTCAGGATTAGAGCTGGAGGACTGACCTTTTTTGTTGAACTATGCAGATGTGGGTTGGCTAAAACATTTAATACTTTTTTCTTAAAGTCATTGAATTGTTTCCATCAAAACAAAGCAAAATTGGAAATGTCAAAATAAACCCTTTTGCCATTGTCAAAATGGAACTTTTCAGTGCTGGGACTTAGGTATAGAAAGGGATTTACCCCCCATTCACAGAATTGGAGCAAGTGGTGATGCTTGTGCTGTAGTTCTGCCCTCTGTGAGAGATGAAAGAAGCAGAGAAATCCCTACTCTGCAGCAGGCACTTGGAGCCTGGGCAACCATCTTCCCAGGTGAGCACCTGAACCACTGCATTACAGAGTTATTCCCATTCTCTTTCTCTGGCCCAATGAATATTTTATACAAACTGTAATATCTTTGGCAATAGAGATTGATAGAGACCCATTCCAAAGTAGCCTAGTGGTTAAGTCATCCTCTATCATGTTGCCCTTTTATCTCTCTTGGTAAAGTCCCTTTGAATTTCCTTTGTCTTCTCTGGGTGTGACCCTTTACTCTTACTCTTTGTTTTCTGTCTTAGGCAGTTTTTGGGTCATGACAATATTTTGCCTTTCACCCATGACTTCTTACTTTCTTAAGTAGCTTCTTGTGAAGGATCTTGCCTGTTGTCCCTCATGCAATGGGGATTTGACCTGATTATAGCCATTGGTAGCCAGCTATCAGTTTAGCTGCACTAGTGCATCTGCCTTTTGTAGACAAGGTATAAAACCCATGTAGAACAGATACCTGTGGTCATCAGACCACAGATCATTAAAGCTGGGAGAACTAAAATCTATTGAAGTTTTGAGATACCAAGGAAACCAAACCCAAAACATAAGCATTTCATTGGTGACGTCGTCCCCTGCTTAAAACAGGGGTTTCACTAGTGCAAATGGTGGATGTGCATGTCTATCCTGGAGTTTGCACCATTTCTGCCCTCCTAATGATTGTCAACCAACGGCTTTAACCAGAGCTGGTCCCTAGTAAAGACAAGGCCTTAGCTGATATTTTAAAGCCATATGCCTGCATGAAAGTGTAACCCACACACCTAGTGTGGCACCTAGACCATAGCAACAGTTAAGCTCAAGAGACCTCTACAGCATAGGCTGGGAGCCAGCTGGCTTTTAGCTCAGAGGGTAGAGACTCCTATACTCTGCTTCAGAGGTCCCAGGTTCAAATCCACCTGGGGGTGGTTACAAGTGGGGGCTTGTCTGGGATTTCAACTGGGTCTCTGAAGCTCGGGATGCGCTTTCTTACCTAAGGGAAGTATATAACCCACACACCTACGGTATGTCTAGTCTGCACCCCTCTGCCGGCAGAGGGATGCAGATTAGGCTGGGCAAAATTGCTGATGAAGTGATGATTTAAATATCCAGTGCTTCATTAGCATAAAAACAGCCACCGCTTTTTTCCGGCATGGAGCTTTGTCGGAGAAAAGCGGCAGTCTAGAGGCTGACCTATCACTAAAGAAAGTCTTTTCTGATAGATCCCTTATGCCTTGTAAAAAAAAATGCCCAGAGGGTAGAGGCTCTTATACTAAGCTTCAGAGGTCCCAGGTTCAAATCCGGCTGGTGGTGATTACAAAAGCGTGTATGGGGAGAATTTGTTGATTTGTGACTGTGCACTTTGCATACTTTGAAAATGTCTAGAGGCTGACCTATCACTAAAGAAAGTCTTTTCTGATAGATCCCTTATGCCTTGTAAAAAAAAATGCCCAGAGGGTAGAGGCTCTTATACTAAGCTTCAGAGGTCCCAGGTTCAAATCCGGCTGGTGGTGATTACAAAAGCGTGTATGGGGAGAATTTGTTGATTTGTGACTGTGCACTTTGCATACTTTGAAAATGTGGGAAACTTTGTTCAAATATAAATATATATATATATATATATAAATATAATGC